GTGATTTCGCCGGCAGAACCTTTAATTCCAGGCCTCCGATTGGCAGACCAGACTACGATACTCATGGAGCTGACTAATGACAATTGAGGTCAATACCTACGTCATCGAAAAACAATGTGTAGTGTGTGGTAAGATATTTTATCAATGTTCAGAGCAAATACACTTCGAGACAATATTAGAGAGACAATTTCAGATAATACTACAGTGTTAAACTGGATACGTGAAGGTGTGACCTTGCCATTTTCTACTAAACAGGCAGAGTTCATTGACAAAGAAGTTAGTCGTTTGCTAAAATCGGGTTGTATTGTGCAGTGTCCAAACAGTAATCCGGATTTTGTATCACCAATAAACGTAGTTCCAAAGAAAAAAGGTTTTAGATTAGTAACTGATCTGAGACATCTGAATAAACATATATCACCACCGTCATTTGTATATGAATCAATTGAAGATGTAGTAAAAATAACAAATGTTAATGAACATATGGTCACATGGGATCTGGAACAGGGTTTTCATCATATTCCAATACACCCAGAGTATTCTGACTATCTGTGTTTTAAATGGAAAAATGCGTTTTATAAATGGATGGTGACGCCCTTTGGGGGTAATTTTAGCCCGTATTATTTTGCAAAACTGTTCGTGAGGTGGTGAAACATTTGCGACAAAATTACTGGAAGACTGTGTCTTATGTAGACGATTTTTATTTGTGTGATGATGCCTCTCTTATTGAAGGCAAAATTGAGTATGCGATACAGGAGTTGGGCAAACTTGGCTGGCACATTCATTTGGAAAAGTCTTGGTTTACCCCTAAGACTGAATGTAAGTTCATTGGATTTTTGGTACAGACTGGGGTAGATGACAAAGCAGTTGGGTTAAAAGTTCCTAAAAATAGAATTGACAAGGTATACAAAGACATTAAAAGAATACTTAAAAAGGGCCAAGCAACGGCCAGAGCATTGGCGAGAATCGCCGGATAAATTGTGTCCATGACCAAAGCAGTCACGCCTGCCAAGCTCCTGCTACGCAATCTGTATCGATGTTTAAGGTCAAGGACCTCTTGGCAGGATCTGTTGACACTGGACATTGAAACTATTAAAGACTTACGTTGGTGGTTAAAAGCCTTTGAGGCATGGAATGGCAAAGCATTTAGACACCAAAGCATTTCAATTGAAATTGCCACTGATGCCTCGGCAGAAGGATGGGGAGCCACTATGCTTTCAAGCGGTTTGAAGGCCCAAGGCTATTGGACGATAGAACAGTCTTACAAAAGTTCCAATTTTCGGGAAACACTAGCTGTGCTATTAGGTCTTTTGGCCTTCCTGTCACAAATAAAGGGCAAATCAGTGACTATTCTAAGCGACAATGTGTCGGCGGTCTGTCATATCAATATGCAAGGGGGCCCTGCAATGGAATTGTCACGAATTGCGAGGGGAATGTGGTCATTAGCACTCAAATACAACATACAGTTAAAAGCTCAACATCTGAAAGGTGTGCTCAACGTACAGGCCGATACGTTGAGTCGACTAAGTTCCCAGTACGAATGGTGTCTACATCAGAAAGTTAACGACTACTTGAATGTACTGTGGGGGCCTCACACCATAGACAGATTTGCCACTATGGCGACAACCAAATGCATAAAGTACAACAGTCGGTTTCTAGATCCAGCCTCAATGGGAGTAGATGCGCTGCTCCAGGGGGACTGGGGACTGGAAAACAATTATGTGAATCCACCAATAAGACTTCTAGATCAGGTGCTGGATATTATGTGCCGGCAACAGGCAACAGCAACAGTTATTGCTCCGGAATGGAAGGCCCAGTGGTTTTACCAAAGATTAAAACAATTATCAGTGGCTCCACCAATAAAGTTACCAAAAGCCAAACTCTTTTGCACTCAAATGGGAATACAAACTCCAGAACCATTGAAGAATCACAAGTGGACTTGGTTCGCCTGGAGGATATCTGGGAAAGAAAATTGTTAGCTGAAGGTTGGCCTCTGGCTTGCGTTGAAAAATATCCAAACTTCTTGGCTTCTTCAACACTGAGGCAGTATAATGCATGTTTAAAAAAGTTTCAAAGCTTTTGCATTATCAATGATTATGCTTTCCCCCCTAAAACTGACAACGTGTTAGCTGTTATTGTTAACTTTTTAAATCATGAGGCTGAAAAATCAGAGAGACCTGAATCGTTTCTAAAATCTTTGTCTTCCGCTCTGAAACACTGGTTGAAGGCTCATGATTTACAAGTGCACCATGAATTGTTAGACAATTTTGTAAAATCTTTGATAAGAATAAACACCATACGTCCGAAAGGGCGCACCAAAATACTAGCGATTCAATTGTTTCTGTCTATGTTTAGGAATTGGGG